AGATAACACTCGCCGTGCTGGAGAATCGGCCGTTAAGCCAAGATTCATGCTCGTTCGGAACAACGGGACGCAGCGGCCTCGCAGTGCGGGTGCACTGCAGCACCTCTGCAAACCGGCAGCGGCTCAAAAATCAAAAATACTTCACCACCATAGCCCCAGCTGCTCCCCAGCAGACCTGCGCGGCCAGGGTGTAACTCGGAGCTTGCGAAGCGTGTGTGAACAGCCACCGGCCGCAGTTTGAGGTCGTCCAGCCGTCAGTCAAGGCAGCTGAACTGGTAAATGGCAAACTGAGGGGTAAAAGTTGAGTGTTTGCTAAAAGACTGTTTGTAAAGCACAGTAAGCAAAGCACCAAGTCCATCCCAGGAAGAAGCAGAAGCCTCCCTCTGCTCAGGTATCGTAGCTACCAGGGGAGCGTGGCTCTGTGCTGGTTTTGGCTGGGATAGGGTCAATTTTCTACACAGTACCTAGGAGGAGGCTACGTTTTGGATTTGTGCTGAAACAGTGTTGATAACACAGGGGTGTTCTCATTACTGCTGAGCAGTGCTCACACAGCTCAAGGGCTTTTCTGCTTCCCACCCTACCAGCAAGTAGCCTGGGGGTACACAAGAAGCTGGGAGGGGACCCAGCTGGGACAGCTGACCCCAGCTGACCAAAGGGATATTCCACACCATATGGTGTCATGCTCAGCATATAAAGCTGGAGGAAGAAGGAAGAGGGGGATGTTCAGTGTCATGGCATTCATCTTCCCAAGTAACCATTAGGCATGATGGAGCCCTGCTTTCCTGGAGATGGCTGAACACCTGCCTGCCCATGGGAAGAAGTAAATTAATTCCTTGATTTACTTTGCTTGTGTGTGTGGCTTTTGCTTTACCTATTAAACTGTCTTTATTTCAACCCACAAGTTTTCTCACTTTTACTCTTCTGATTCTCTTCCCTATCCCACTGCAGGGTGGGGAGTGAGCGAGCAGCAGAATGGTGCTTAGTACCAGCTGGGCTGAAACCACAACAGGCTCTGTTTTCTGAGGCCCAGATCACTGCTGCTCCCCAGCAATTCCTTAAGGCACAGACCAATGGATTTTTAAAGAAATAAAATAAATGTGTAATTATTCTAGAAATACTGCTACAGCAGGCAATTTCAGTCAGAAAAGCATGTGGCTGAATGTGATACACAGGCAAACAGCACAGCTCAGAGTGCGTGTCATCAGACTTCAAAATGTCTTTGCCATATTGTACCCAGCAAGCCTCAATTAATCAACATGCTCAATCAACGGCTGCTAGCTCTTATCAAGAAAGTTTGGTAACTCTACGCCAAACATTTATTCTAAAGATCTTTTTCATCTTAAAGCCAAAAAGTGTTTGGCACGATCCTCAAAAAGTTCTTCTATTCTCTCTCCCCTTTCCTTTTAGCACTCCCAGAAAATCTTCTGCTTCCTTTCTTCATGGTATTTCTGGGAAGCTATTTTGGCATAAGCTCACACATTTAACATTTCAAAGAAAGTGGTTTAGCTCTGTCAGCAATCATTTTTACATTTAAAAATATTAAAGGAATTAAAAGCTCAAAATTTAAGACATCCAAAATATCATACACATTCTATAGTATCATTTATATTATAATGGTTTGTCACATGGTAATATAGATCATGATAAGGACAGCAGAGTAAATCTGCAAAAGCAAACCCTTTACTTTGGCATTATGAACCCACATACTTTCTATTAAACATTAATTTTTACTAGATTGTTTCAAGATTATAGTTTGTTATTAGCATTTAATACAGTCAGTCAAAATCAAGTAAGCATACTGAATTACACTTAGATATTTTTATTTGAAAGGAAGGGGGGAAGTGTTCATCAATCACACTTCAGCCACCAGTTTAGATGAAATGTTATGCATCTCATCTCCACCAACTGTCTACTCAGAGGGTTTCAAGTAATCTTCCCAGGCTGGAGTGGGAAACACGAGAATGAAAGACAAAAGACAGCTTTTTGGATAGATACTGCAGAAAATGAACGTGGCTTTTTACTGTGTTTCAAGTGAAGATGCCCCAGTAAATCATTTTGCACCCTGCTTGTTCTGACAACATTCCTTTTCTTGGGTGTTGCAATTCAAATTCCAAATTTTTATTTTCGATAAAAGACCCAAGTTATGATCCACATTTTTATTTTGGATAAAAGATCAAAGTTGTGATCCAAGGATCACTACTATTCTCATTCTTTAAACATCTCTCTAAGATTCCTGTATTTCCCACCTATTCAGGGAATTTAACCTTTTGAATTTTATTCTGCTATCTGCATACAAAATCTTAAAGCTCTTACAGTTCTGTGATTCAATTTGGTATTTTAAGCTCCAACACTAAGCTTTTTAAACACTGTGATTTTTCATGAAATAAGCTTAAATCCAAATGAAAACATCTGGATTTCAGTTTCCTGAACTGTTTTAACTGAAGGAATGGAAATTTCTACACAATAAACTATCACACTGTTTGCATTTGGGTTTAGTCAGTTTCTTCACTTTGCCCAAATACACTGAAGCATTTGATAATTCCGTATTAACACAATTTGTTTACTGATATAATTTAGTACTTTTACTACTCCCATGATTCCTAATGTTAGCATTTACTTCAGTTGTTGTAACTGACCAAAATAACTCTGTCATCTAACTATTACCGCAGCCTCTTTCCATATGGTTACTTGTATACTAAAGCCATATAAATATCATTGGGGTGGGGAAGAACTGCTTCCTCTCCTTGATAAGTGACCTGAAATAAAATGAGACACGTCTCTGAAATCTAGAAGGCGCTTGTTTTTGTAATTTGCCTAGATTCAGTTTGCTGATTTTCTTTGATATATCCAACCAAGTTTCTGCGGCTTTTAGGATATTAACTTCAGCAGCCAGCTTCACAAAGCAACACCTTTGTAACCTGTTGAAATATGCCTTTTTGTATGAGGGGCTTCACATCTGTAACTGTACTTCTTTCTACCATACAAGGAAAAGAATAACATTATTAACTTTTAAGATAAAAGCAGGTAAACATGTCACTTCTTTGCTACTGCGTTAGCTGGTTATTTTAACTTTTGAGAGGAAGGGAGAGGGTGAGACATGGGATAAGCCACTAGCCAGTTTTTCCATCTCCCAAAACTGAAATTATTGAAAGGAAAAGAAAAAAAAAAAGAAGAACCCAATAATTTACTTTTCTGTTAATGTGCTGCATCATTCACTCTGAATTAAGTTCACAATTAATTACAAGGACTGCATCAGTAGCAAACAACACATTGATTTAATCCTTCTGAAATATATTTTCAAGTCACCATAAAGAATATTACTGTGAAGCTTTAAATCCTACAAATGTTTCATAAGCAAAAAATTTGTAAGCCAGTAATTAAGGTAAGAGACCATAAAGGGGAATAGTTTTATAAAATAAGTTTATTAATAACTTTATTCTATTCCTTTTTACATGTGTTACTAATTAAAGTGTTTTTAAGAATTTTTCAAAGTCCTGTATAGAAGCTTTGGCAATCTCTGTACAAAACACCTCATCGGGCAAGGATACTAGCTGGTCCAGAGAGATGTAGCTGGGTTTTGCTGGGTCATACTGAGCTCTTCCCAAGAATGTAAGAAACATATGTCTCTCTTTGATTCGTAATAGCTTTGAGTTGAAAACCTAAGAAAGAAAGAAAGGGAAGAATCTTTTCGGTTCTCTAAATTTCAGACTCTGATGAATCTAAAGTAACAGCATTTTTTTAGACAAAGTTAAGATCTAGGAAGAAAACATAATTTGCATATTTTCTTCTCATTTATGTCAAACACCATGTAGATTATATTTATATAGAAATTATCTAAATTTTAAGTAAATGCTTCAATAGAATATACTGAGGTACAGACACAAGGGAAATCAGGGAGCAATACAACTCTCAAGCATATTAGGTTTTTTGTTTATATATGATCGTATACTACTGTTGCGTAATCACACCGAAGAAAGTGAAGATTCAGAAACAGGGAGCAAGAATACCTAAACATTTTTCCTGTATTATCAGAAGCATTTATGTATACAGTCATATTCATATGAGCACTGTTATAAGGAAGAAATGAACAGGTGACTAGGTTGCATGATAAACATGAGTGAATTGCAGTGTCAATGAAAAAGGTGAGTGGCTGCACCTCCTGCTGTAACACAGCCAAAAGGCACAGTGCAGTGGTTCAAAACAACCACTTCTGCTGCACAGTAACACCTACCTTTGAAGATATTTGTCACACAAAGAATTGTAGACAAAGGCAAAAACAATGGTAAGGGAAACATGGAATAAATCAGTGGAACATATACAAAGAGAGAGAAGCTAGGAAGAAGAGAGATGCACAGTTAAATCTGAAAAGCAGAGATCTAATGCTGCATTTCCGAGCAGTATAACTGAAAAGAGATGCCAATTTAGAGAAGATAATAGTGAATACAAGAATGCTAGAGCAATGAAAACAAACAGGTTTTACTAAAAAGGAGAGCCTACACTACCAAAGGAAGAATTTCATGAGGATGCAGACTAATTTGAACTAGGACAGAAAGCAAAACTACTCCTCTGCCTTCCTTGAATGTTAAGAGGGAGTCAGAAGATGGGAAAAAACCTTATCCACTGCTTACGGAGCTAGCTGACAGGATGGATGGTTACAACAGCAGCTGTAACGTGAGAGAAAAAAAATCCTGTATACCTCTTATTTTCAGCATTACTGTCATTCAGGATAGAAGCAAGAACAGATGGAGACAAGTATGCATTTGTGAACGCACAAGTTAATGGCCAGACCATATAGACACTTACACAGTTGCGTTAGCCATATCCTGGAACTCACAGGATTTGAGGATGGAAGGGAGAGGGTGACTGCACCAAGAATAAGAAGTAGAGGAAACTCTCCACTTACCCTTCCAAACAAAGGGAAGAGAAATAATGAGGTGAACCACCAGGAAGCCAACAATAAGACAACTGAGAAGGAACTGAGCAAGACTTGTGGTCACTTACAGGTCAAGGAGGGTGAAAGCGACACATGGATTGGAGTTATAGTAAGCATCCTTGTTAAGTAAAGATGTATTAAATAGCAAGATAAGTAATCAAAATCCTGGGGAATAGTTTTATTTCCCCATATAATTTTGGCTTTTTAGCCAGTTAAGATTATCCAGTTAGATCCCCTACTAGACTTGCGTTAGGGAGAAAATTATTGCAGTTCAGAAGTTGTAATTTGTGCTTTCTTTTTTACCTTGTAAGAAGCTAATGTGACTGCATGTCAGCATTTGATAAGGTGACTAATGGTTTCAATTTGTGAGGAAATAACAGTAATGAGGAAATAGAAAAAAAACCCCAAAACAGTCATCTAGAAACTAAGCTATTTTCACTCCTGTGATTTTTTTAGCTATTGCAGCAATAAGAAGGTCAATGAGAATCTGATTGCCTAGTGGACAGAACTTCTCTTACCTTTAAACTATATTTTCAGATCCTATAATCTAAAAAAATTAGTTTTTAACTAGACAAATCTGAAAGAAATTTTTTTATATGTATGTTATCTAATGAACAGATCTTATGCATGATCTGTCTTCCTTTGTGTCTCTTAGCTAGGTAAGATTTCAGGACAAGGAATCCCTAAAAGCAGGCAGTACTCTCTCTTGCATGAAACCAGGAGATATGCACGTCTACTTCTGTTGAAAACTTAAAAATTCACAAGACTGGGAGTGGTGGTGGTGTCACATGTGTCAGAGGGAGAAGAACGGCACCTCCACACTGGAACCCTCAATAGTCACTGAATTGCTAATAAAAGTTATCCCAATTAGAGTAAAAGCCACAGACAAGTTGAAGAATTCATACGTGTCCTGCATACAGTGAGGCTCCACCTTCAGCACCAAACTAGTGAGGCAGCTATGCAAAGAGCACCTACAATTTATTGCCAGATTAACAGCTCACCTGAGGAAAGCGAATAAGCATGTGGTGGGAAATGCCCATTATGTTGTGTAAGTAGTCAAACGTCTGCTTGAGTCTCTTTTTACTTGCAGTTAAAATCTTGGGGGTTTTAAACACAATCTGTTGAATTTCATTACGCTGAAAACCAAGTTCAATCTGACAAACCTGAAAAAGAGCACAATTTTATCTTCAAAGGTCAGCTACAGCAAATTGAGCTTATTTTAACATGCCACTGAAATAAACTAATGCAAAATTCCTCTATCCTTAGCAACAAGAACGCAACCCACAATAATATCTGCCACACCAGTACTTCTTAAGTCAGACACTGCAAATTATTTATCGTTCTGGATTAAAGTGTAATTTGTTTATACAGTATCCCTGAAGTAAAGATGACTTTGGTGAATGCTATGTATTTTTCATCTTGTCTGAGATGAACAAAAAAGCTGTGTCTCAGTATGCATGGCAGTTACAAGCATAAAAGTTCTCCCCTAAGAGTCTTTTATCAGTTTCAATACCAAGCTGTCAAAAGAGACTGACTCTGGTTGTGGAGCTGTTGAGCTCTGTAAAACACAGCAATCAAATAACACATTAACAAAAGTAGTCTCTATCTGTTTCTTTTGCTAATGTATCCAAGTTATATTTTTATATGAGGGACTATAATTTCAGTCCTGTAGTCTTCAACTGAAGTAATCTGAACTGGAAAGAGATGTGTAGAATATCCAGTGCATTCAATTTATTTTACAGTTGGTTAATGTCTAAAGTAAGATGTTTTTTTCAGAGACTGCCTTTACTTCAATTACGGTTTCCCAAAAGGAAAAGAAAACACATTTTTTCAATAAAATCATGAGCACTCCTCCCAGAGTGCAGAATGGAAAGCAGTTCATTGAGTTGTTGAGAAAGGAATTCAGCATACAAGAGTGTCTGGTAACTCAGCCATTTCTTCTATCCTCCAGTGACATTTACAAACAGCCTGTTTTCAGTCATGAAGTTGGTGTGCTTGCCAGTCAACATAACCAGACTTTCAATCCCAACTCAGGTACTTCTTCAGTTGGCAAAAAGGTGGTGCTTTTTGTTTTTCCAGTTCAGGTGCCAAGACTGCAGCTCTTTTCAAAACTGCCCGACAAATACAAAGGAAAGGGCTTAGAATCTGGGTTCTGAAGCTACCATAGGATTTCCAGATCCTTACAGGGAATTGTTTCCAGAGGTGACTATAATCAGGTCTTTCAACTCCTGGTTCTTCATTATCTGCTTTCAAAGTATTTGCATATCACAAGAAATACTAATCAACTAAGACGGCATTCAAGTATGGAGAGATGTGTTTGCACTTTAATGGTGCCTTCCACAGATCTGAGTTGGCAGGGGTAACTTACTGCATTAAGATACGTAACTGAGAGTAAGACCTGATGTTCAATCAGTAGAGGTGCATAGCTGGCCCCCTGTAGAGGTAATTGTGGCAAGAATCTTAAGGTTTTCTTTTCTACTCTGTGAAATGGAACAGCTCTCTCGACATGAATGGTGAGCTCAAGCGTAAGTTCTTTGCACTCAGTTTGACAGCAAACATATCTAATATTCAGTAACTCTCTAGACCACGTAAGCTAATATCCTTACTGTGCCAGCCCCAGCAATATTCAACGTTCTCAACATTCTCTGTATGATTCCCACAACAGTCAGTGGTAATGCAAGCCTTCCAGTTTTACGCTATCAGTGACTCCAATTGTGCTTGATGAAACCTTCAGAGGAGGGAATGAGCCATCCTTCAGCTCATTTAGTCCATAATTGGTATCTTTTGACAACCATATCAGCTGCAGCAGTTGTTTCTAAATAACAGAGGGATACCACCAGAACACTTCTGAACTGCTGGTATGTGGTTTCACTTTCTCTATACTGCTTGCCCAACACCAGCTTAGGACATACAGGTCTGAACCCAGATTCTGAATGAGACATCCAACCTCCTTAATAGCTAGAGCTTCTAAATACCTAGATTCTAATAGTGAGGACCTAAAAATCTTTCCTCTCTCTAAAACATGTTAAAACTGAGGATGCTACATTATACCCTTTTTAGTAGATGGACAAGATAATTACATAGACCTGAGGATCTTAAAAACACACTCATTATAATACACTGAATCCCTACCCTGTGGAAACAATGTTAATTAAAATGAAAGCACGATGACTTGGAACAGTCTGCTGCTTTCTGGTCTCCTCCCTTACCACACACACATTTCAGATTGCAAGATTCCCAGTGTTTCATAGTTTCAGAGCAGTGAGTCTGTCTGAAAATTATATATTTTAATTCATAGTTATGCATTATAGGATAATGGGATTTCTGAAATTATTACACTACATCATGCTGTTTGGCCTAGATGGCTTTACAGCACAATAATTAAACCAATACATACTTACATTTTCAAAGGGGAAGGGGGTCCCTGTGGGTTTGAAGTTATTTACCCAACAGTTGTTAATAACGACCATCTGCTATCAGACAATAGGTGTCAAATGCACATTTTGGCAGACTAGCTACCTGCCAAGAAGAAAATAATCAACTGCACATTTCTTTCTCCTAAATCCTCACGGCAATCCAAGTTAGCAAAAACCCATAATAATTAAGAAAAAAAAAAAAAGGAGTGAGCAGGCCATATTTTTCACTTATTGTAAAGAAATGGGTAACAATTTGTGTCATCAGATAGCAACTTTTGGCAGGAAAGGACCCAGATGAAGTTTCTAACCTACATCAGAGTAGAAGACAGAATAGGAGATTTATCCACGTATGCTGTAAGCTTGCAAGCTATAGAGGAAAATAAATTGTTTAACAAAATCCTCAGTTATTTTATAACTCCACTAAAATTATTTCATTAAATTATTTCTGCGCAGGATTCAGCTCCGATAATTTTATCTTCTGTCAACTAACTCTTAAACTATGTGGATACACAATACACTTTTAATACCTACTAATAAACTCACCTGAAGATTTTCTTTTACGGGCTCTAATTTGCCAGTCAGTAGCCTTGGAAGACGAATTACCAGATCCTTTGTCTACAATGAGGGAAAACACAAAGGAAAGATTATTACTGAAAGCTTGTTTGTGAATCCATCTGTGAAAGAAAGAGATCTCAAACTTTTTTTTCCCCCAGTTGGAAGAGGGATCCACTTTCCCTTGCATTTCATTGTATCTCTACCCCAAAGAAGAGTTTGCATGAAGCTGCAATATATTAAGATGCAGAAAGTTACTAAAATATGTTCAATTGGAAAATAAAAAAATAACATAGCTGTTGTAAAACAGCCACGAAGAGGGAGTAAAAGGATACCCCAAAAGCAGAAAGCATGTCCAGTCTCTCTCAGTGCTCAAGTTGTTTCTTCCCACCTTTTTTAAACAAAGTAAACAAAACACTACCCAATAGAGACTACAAAAGGATTTTTCAGCTACAGTGGAATTTGTCTACTTCCAGATCTGGTTAGACCATAGTATTACAGCCATACAAGAAATTACTCCACATCCCCATAGCCATGTGATTATGTGTAATCCGCCCTGAGTATAAGGCAGAGATCTCCAGAGAGATCTCTTACCTCAGGCATGGAAAGGCCAGGAACAGGCACTGTGACAGCTATGACTGTTCAGCAAATAGAAGCCAATAGAAGAACATCAGATTCCACTTGGAACTTGACATTTATTGCAATCCCCAGCTACTGCAGAAAACAACTAACACTGCCCACTTATTCCAGTAAACTCCAGCTACTGCCTCCTCTGAAGATCCCAAAGCATGGTGCTAAATACCTGCTTAGCATGTAATGTGGTAAGCACTCAGGAGCAAACCCAGAGGTTACTCTTGGTGAGCTGAGCACATGATTTGGCATTTAGTTTGATATGATATTCACACATTAGACTATTTTTCACTGATGAGGTAAGTATGTTACAATATCTTGAAGAGATGAAGAGAGCCAATCAGTTTTCTAGAAACTAAAAAAGCTGCTTGCTGTTTCAGTGATGGATTCAATCCTCTAACCCACCTCAGATAATGAAACTGGACACACAGAAGCTTGTGTGACAATAACCTGCAGCAGATCATCTTTAAGAACTGTTCATGACCTTTGAATGTCAGGTGTCCATATTACTTCTACAGACAGTTAAAATCATGTTATCCTCCTGTAACCCTCTGTGTTACCATCAATAATGTCACTAATGTTTGTGGACAAGCTCCAAACACTTGAAGTATTCATGTTCCAAGGCCTTACAGTTGTCACTGACAAAGTACCTAAAGACTTCAGTGGATAGTCCTTACCTTTTTTACACTGAGGCCAAGTTCATTTTTGAAGAAACCCAGTCTGTTATCCAGTCTTTCCACTGAAAACAACAGCAAATATGGAGCTCTTGAGACCATCTGAGCAATTTCTGTCTTACCAAATTTTTTTGATTTTAGGTAAGCCACTCTAGAAAGAGAACAAAAACAAAATAAAAACCAGTGATGAAAATTTTATTGCCTCCATTTATTCAGTCCTTGCTTAAATTCCTCAGTGATATCTTATAAATGGACAGATGTTCTAGCATTAACATGCAACCCTGCCAAAAATAATTAGGGGGAAATCTGCAGTTATCATAAAAGCAAAATACTATCCCTTCCAATTAATTAGAAGTAAAATAAACCTCAGAGCAGAATGTCAATCCTGAAGACAGATTTTAATTCCTTCCAGCTGTACTTAAGCAGATAACCATGTTAACCTACATTTAACTACCAGCCTGTCTCCTAGATTGCAAACACATTAATAGATCATCATAGGGTATGGACAAGAAGATGTATACAGCCTTTTGCTATTTTAATGAATTCCATTTCTACTGCTGAAAGAACAGAGTACTATACCTCATACATCCCTGTTTTGCCAATAGCACTGGAGTAGAAATATCATACAACAATGCTATCTGTAGAGACATTGTCCAAAAAGACATTTCTAAATCAGATGAAGTTACTTTTGTTACAATAGGTCCCTACTTTCAGTCACTGGTCCAAGGATTTAGTTACAAAACATCTGGTTGTCAAAAAGGAGAAGGAGCTGACTAAAGTTTTTATGTTTAACAGAGCTTGCTTTCCTTCTTTCCAACTCAAAACTTTTTCCAGACTTTGTTGAATTTGGTGAAAGTGAAATCCTATTTCAACTACTACTTGCAGTAGAATATTGCTGTAGCTCCCAGGAAAAGGAATGGGGGTAGAAATACAGCACACAAAATAAAAAGAAATGTGATTAGCCCAGGTGCCACCATTTACAAAAAAAAAAAACAAACCTGAACTACAATTTGGAAAGGTTTATTTTGGTTATAGATGAGCATATACAGAAGTATTTGCTGTCAGATGAACTTAGAGCATAAAAAAAAAAAAAAAAACCTGAACTACAATTTGAAAAGGTTTATTTTGGTTATAGATGAGCATATACAGAAGTATTTGCTGTCAGATGAACTTAGAGCATAAAAGAATTGAATTTAGCTGGCAGTAATTAAGATACTAAATAGACTGCAGAATATTCTGCAGAAGCAGATATTCAGCAAAAGATGGGCTGTGTGTTAAATCATGTCTTGGTGGAGATAAAGTAAAAATACCTTCCAGTCACTACAACCTCCCTCTCTTTCCACTAACCCTCAAAAATTAAGTAATCACAAGCTAAAAACCTCTAGACAGAAGATCTAAGAACAAGCTCTAGAGGACCAATTCCTAACTGAGCAGGCACACCAACACAGAAGTTAGCAGCCTGGGCTCCAGACAATGCTGATGGAACTGGCTGCAGGAGACTCAGAAAGGAGAGGTTAGGAGGGGGAGTTATGCAGAACACAACAATAAACAATTGGCAATTGGCCCTTCCAAAGTTATTCCACTATGTTTTGAATGCTGCAGCTTGGCTACACTAGACTTCCTTCCATTCCATTTTTTCAGGGGCACAACTGGCAAGCATCCTAGAAACATAGCTAAATGAGCAGATTAAAAATAAAACCTTTAGGTTGTCCTGACTCCCCTCCACTTGGTTGCTGTTAACAAGTCATTAAGATTCACACCTGAAGCATTTCTTCCTGGAAAGGCAAGAAGCTTAAAAAAGGGATGGCAAGATTGTAATAACCTGACCCTAGAAACTCGCATGTTAAAGGAGCACAATCTTCCACCCTGACCAAGGCTTGAGAAAACTTTGTGCATGTTGGCACCAAGGTTAGCCCTTGTTCTACTATAGGGGTCAGCAGTTCTATGTAGCACGTTAACAGTTTTAAGTCATCATTAACAATTCCGTAAAACAAAGCATCTGGTGCAGCTGCAGTACAGACACTGATTTGCCACTGTCAGATTTGTTATGAATTATGGAATGTTTTGACTTTTACAGTGTTTATCTGAAGTCAAATGCCAAATCTATTGAAATTTGTGTTTTGTTTCCTGGCAACCTGGAATCCATAGCAATAAAACATTCCAGAGTGATGTAACCAATACCACGTCCATCTGCACTGAAGTGTTTATGCAAAGGTGATACTCAGCTTTCAGAAGACAGCTGTCTGAGACACATTCACTTCACAGCCTGCCACACACCCTCTGCAACACACTTACTTTAAAGCTTGCAGGAAAGCATTCACCAGTGCCAGAGATAAACTTACTGTAAAATCAAGCTCCAGAAAATTAAGAAGAAATAGGATTGACCTGTTCAGCCCCTACTTCACTAACCAGGCGGTGCCACAGGACAGTCACTGAAAAGCAAATCTGACTTCACAGGTGTAGTCGACCAGCGGAGTTCGCAGTAATCAGCGCAAGGGGCTCTTTGCGATCGGTGGGCAAAGTTCTTGGACACCACCCAAACGAGCCAATTATGATGAAAGTGAAAGCCATTTATTGTGTGTTGCGCACTTTTATACTAAATTTTTTACAATTTGGCAGCTGCTAATTGGATACAATAATTTTAAATTCTTAACAACAAAATCACTACTGGCTATTCTGGATCCTGGGAAAGCAACCTTCGAAGCTGCGTCAACACAACCTCTAAAATAGCTTAGTTGTGCTAATTATCTTCCCTCAGTTTCCCCTTATCTTTCTCATATTCTGTATAATTGGATACTTTTGGACATCTGGTCATTTTTCTTCTTTCCCAGGATCCTCTATCAACCTTATTATTACAAAGTCTAAAGTTAGTGTCATAGTTAAAATTCCACTTTAACACAAAACACTACTACTTCTAGGATTCTCTATTAATCTTATAAAGTCTAAAGTTAATATCATAGTTAAAACTCTACTTCAGCATAAAACGCCCCTACAACAGGAGAGTTAGAATGTTTATCATAGCAAAAAATACTCTCTTCAAAGAGTATAAGCAACTCTGACATCTAGACTCAAAATGACTGCTGAAAAAATGACAGGTTCTTTTTTGGATATTGTTTCTGAAAGGTCACTTACTGACCAGGAGGATGGAAGAAGAGAGGGGAGAAAAGTCAGGTCTATGTCAGACCTGAGTCTACTTACGTGCCTGTTTCCAAAGAGCCATATTTTCAGAGTTCTGAAATTCCGATTTCAGCTACTACATGCAAGAGCCAAGCAGAAAGACTTTATTTTCTGGAATTTTTAAAGACCAAAATGTTTTGAGTTCATTACAAAATGCACATACACACACAAGTCGTTCTGTAAAAGAACTGCTGAATTAATAAAAGCCTGTCTGGAGTAATTTTAAGAATACAAGTCCATTTGCCTGCAATTTAATTTTTCCATAATCAACACACCTAATGGAAGTATGAAACAGAAGAATAAAGTAATTCCTTTTCAGAATCAAACTTCTTATAATTACACACCAAACAAATACAGCTGAGTAAAGAAAGCTAGGACATCTACGACTGCAAGACACAGATAAGTTAAAAATGAACATACTGAGAAACTGTTTGTATCCAGAAACCAACAGAGGAAGAGTGGAACGCAGTTACAAGCCACCACACCACCTCTAGAGCAATGCACCTTTGCAAACAGCAACTGTGGATTCATGAAAATATGGGCTCAAAACCCACATTCAGTTATTTCAGAAAAACAAAGAAGAATAACCTTTTTTTTTAAAAAAAAAAATAGACTATTTATATTCTTACAATACATTATTTCAAAGATCTTGACTATTTTAATTCCAGTTATTTAACTTGAGGAAGATTTTTCTTTAGAACCAAAAGCCTTTCTGTCACAAATACAAACCTCATCTTTAAAGCTCTAAAACTAGTCCTCCAAAGTTAACAACACAAAAACACCAAGGACAGGCTTCTCGGAATAGATACTAACAGTTATAACCACAAGACCTCAACTTGACCAGCATCAGCACAAGTATCTCAGTCGCTGCAGGATGAAGTCCAGCGCCCTAGCGTAAGCCCACTGAAGGAACACTCGAAGTCTGCACTCATTCAGCCAAGGTGCACACACGTGTGACAAATCAGAGGGCTGATTTCCAACACAGGGAGAATGGACAGCTGCTACCATTAACGCCTTAGTCCATATCAGGCAGATCAGCCACAGCTCCTCAATATTCTTGTTTTGACCACCTTTATCCCTTTAACTTGGCTACAGGTCTTTAAAGCTACTTTAAATACCAGTATTATCCCATTATGTCTTGAAAGCTGACCAGACAAAGAATTGTTAATGAAATAACAACTGCCATTAAAGAGGAAGTCTCACTGTTGCCAGAGAACAACAGATACAATTACACAGTTTGATTCAGACAACACCTGAATTACTGAAATCATCAGACTTCAGTCCACTTCTGACACAAATCCCATCACTTTCCAAGTCATGCTGCTGGAGAAAGAGGAGTATGTGTATACAGTTATCTTATTTCTTCAGTGCTTACTTTCATTCAAGTAGCCCTTATATTGAGAACGCAGCATTTTCTGAAGTTAGCATTCTCTAATAAGCTAGACCACATGAAGTACAGTCTGAGGTACACAGCATCTACATTTAAGACATTAACAAGAGCAGAGAGGAGTAGGAGAGGGTGATACAGAAAAAAAAAGTTTGACAGGAAATGAAGAAAACAGTCTCAGAAGAAAGACCCAGAAACACAATGACTTTTCTTAAAAAAAAAAATCCAATCTTTGTCACACACACAAATAAGCTTAAAAAAAAAAAACCAGACTCCACAAGGCAGCTAACTAAATAAGCTTTGGTCTAAGATATTAAATCTTCTAAATAAATTGTCATTTACCCTCATGCACAGACAAGCTGGGGGACACTGAGGAAACATTTAAGGGCCATATAAATGTGAACACACACACATGCACACACAAATTAGTTCATTGTAGTCTTGTGCTCAGTTTGACCTGGACAACAGGAAAAAAAATGCCACCAAAACCTTCTGCTGCTATTAGTAGTAAACACAGAAAAGATACAGTCTGCTTCTTTTACTGCAGAATTCACAAGGTATGGGTAGACGTAACCTCGAGAAGAGCAGTTTCAAAGCATGACTGAAGAGATTAATATTGTTCTACAAATTTAGGAAAGCCTCAGGGACTGACATTTTGGAATCTAAGCTGACACAGTTTACAGCAAGTGGCCTAGGATAGCAAGCTGCTTCCTCTGCGACAGAGAGACAAATGAGCTGTAAAATCTGCTAACGGTCAGTTTTCAGGTGGATCAGGGTGCTGACTTGACTTATGATACCACCACCACATGTTAATGCTGACTGATGAGAAGGCACAGGGACATGGAGCCAAGGATCAAGTGAGAAAGGAAGCAGCAGCAACACAGGCTAAGACAAGGTTAAGCCAATTGGGAAACTAGATCTTCATGCCAAGGGGCTTAACACTCTGCTGCTATTTGCAAGGCTCACCTGGTTTCTAAAGCTTCCAGATCTTCACCAAGGATGTATGGATTTTTGGTCAGGAATGGTCCCAGCTGATTGTCTTCTACACCTACATCCTTAAGAAACAGAAGTATTTTTCTTATATCTTTTTCAAAATCCAAGGTCAGTAAGAGTTGACCTGCCTTTTGACGTTTTTCCACTTGGGATAAGTCAACTCCTACAAAAAATAAAATTAGATATTGTTTTAATTAAACACAGACCCTATTTCTTATAACTGTTTCAGGAAGGCATATTGAAATTTATAGAGGTATTCCTTCCTTACACTTGAAGCATACTTCAATTGCTCAACACAGCAAGGTCACAACACCTTGTATATTGTGGAAGGATTCCAGATAAAATAAGCAGTCATTTTAGACGCTTTTACTAAGTTTATTTTTTGAAGGAAGACATTCACAGTGAATCCTGAATGTGAGGAATCAAGTACACTAGCACATGCCACATGCAGAGACCTACTCTTTTTGTGCAGACATATGTGTGCAAGGAATTCCCAGCTCCATTACGCAATGGAAGGGGATAATTTTGCAGTGAAGTGCCTTTGGATACTGGCTCACATGCAGCAATTTGTTACTACATGGGACCAGATCTCCACCTCTGAAATATTTATTTCTCCAACCTCCTTCTACTGTTCCTTTCACTTTTGGGAAAAAAAGGAGGTGGCCAGCAACCTTGAATTCAGCTATCCTTGCATAGGCCAAGTGCTTTTTGATGAGAACTAAGGTTGTCTTCCATCCTCTCCTTCTTGCCTCTCCAGTTTATTGTGCTGTGATTCTAAGGTTCTGCATAGCAACAGCTCTCCTTTCTTCCTTCCAAGGACAGAAAGCTGCAATTTCTTTTACAGCAAATTAAAGCATCCTTAACCAGCACAAAAGAAGAAAGACCAATCAAGTTACACAAAGTGCTCTCCACCTCCAGAAGCTGTGGGAGATGCCTCCTTCTAGCATCAACAGCACTAAGGTACTGAAACTAGCCAACCTTGTCTTCAATTAATAACGCATTGCTCACAAGTCATGCAGTCCCCTCTCTTTTTCCATTTACACTGGATAACATTCTGCTGCTTTTAGCCATTTGTGACTATTCCTATTTTCAAGCTTATAAGGCAACCAGTAAGATTAAAACACAAATTATAGAATCTCTAAAGTTCCAGACACAGGCAAACCACGTAAACAAAATCACACGTACCTAGTTGGACAAGTTTTGCCAGGGTTTCCGAGTGATCAACATAATCTCGGAGTGTGGAAGACTGGAGGGGAAGAAGTGGTTCTGCAATGATCTGTACAGCTTCTTCCTCAGAAATCTCCTCCAAAGCAGATGAAGGTGGGATGTCATCCCAGTCTAAGAAACAAATATAGAAGATCCAAATGCATTTTGTGAAAGACAAAGCTGCTCCCACCAAACGCTATGCAAATCTCTTAAAATCCCCTTCAAAATGCAAGAACACTGTGAATGAGATGACCAGACTATTATTATTTGGAAACATACAAAAACCTAGACTCTACTCCCAGTTTCTGTCTGTTCCATCTCCTTGTCACTGCCCATCAGCTCTTCCACATGGGGCCAAATCCAAGAGTAGTACCCAGGAAGCTTGCCTTCAGTCTGCCGATCACCGCAGACAACACATCACATCACCTTCTTGAAAAAGAATCTTCTTTCATGTCTTCACAAATGCATTCTTGCCTGATCACATCCAGAAAAAGGCTACTACAAGGATTATTTTTCACAATCTGACAAGCCACTTCATTCCACTTCTGAATCTGACGCCCAAACTGCAGTTGTTTTAACTTTCAAGGTATTTCACAGTGAACTCCAACCAAGCTATCATGTCTTATCCATTACAGAATGGCTGCTGACTGCCACCACCTCTAACAGCTAAAGAAATCAAGCTCCATTCCCTACTCATTAAAGTTTCCAAGTGAACTTCATTATACTTGTTTCCCCTTAAGTGTTCCAAGTCACAGAGCTCAGTGTCTTTTCAAAAAATATTTGTCCAAACTGATCTATTTTTCCACTGACAGGAACTCACAGCAGCTAGATCAAGATTACTGTTTTGCAGGCTGACTGCTAGCATCCACCTCAATTATCAAACTGATTACTGATCAACAGCACTAATTATAAACTCTTCAAGATAGGGATTTTCTATGTCCTGTACCTTCATACAATGACTTTCTAGAGACTAGGGTAACACTCTTCCACATCAAGAAAACAAAGCCACACCAGAACTACCAAGACAGGTTCCAAAATAACTAGGATGATTCGAATGTTCCAGGAAGAGTTGCATAGACTAGCTCAATAGCTGATGAAGGTCTTGCCACTTCTTTTTGTCCAAGCCTCAGAAACAAAAGCACAGTAAAATGTTTTTAGGAACATTTACACCTTAAATATTATTAAGAACTCTCTAGGAACCTATATGGACATCACGTATTTTCTTTTGACTTGTTGAGAAGAAGCATAGGTGCCCCTTTTTTTGCCACTTGAAATTATTTAAACCTCCTACTAGGAAACATATCTCAAGTGAGACAAAAAAAAACAAACATAAAAGTGAGCAATTTTGTTTATTCCATTATATACACTGACAACTGGGCAAAATGCTCCACACACACACATACAACAGTAAGTCTGCTGGCAAATAAAAATTTAGCATGTAGATAAACTGCACCACAGGTGCAGACATATACGAGCTGGCTGACCTGTCAGTTCTGGTGCAGCACTGTTTCCAAAACCAGCTGCACAAACACACAGATCTAAGTTGCAGCTCTGAGCCACCCCAAAAACAAGCTCTGTAGGATCCAAGCTGGCTGGCCTGAAAGCTAAATCTGAACACACATGACTGCTTAGTAATCCCAAGCAAGCTTCCTCAGCATACTAGAACTCTTTTCAGAGGTATTTTTTTGTCCTCACTTAGATATAAAGTAGAGAAAAGTGAGGCAATATCCTCAGGTGAACAACACCAAGGCGATCTTGTATCTAGCTCCTTTCCTGGGGAGACAGTTTGACGAGCATTTCTCACCAGGGCAGTGCCTAGGCAGGCTTCACACTGCTGCCTCCTGTTGTTCATCCCTGATCACTCTCAACGGCTGCTTCAGGGATGGTCCCCCCACTCCTGCTCAAAAAAAACCCCAAACTCAAATCCACCAAACAAAACCCTTTATTTTGTACCAGCTCAAATACGATGGAAGGGCAAATGCTCAGCTGCTGCAGGTAGAGAGGTAATGTTGCAAAAAAACCCTCTTCAAACAGCAGCCCCAAACACCGTATCTTTATCTCGGCTTGTAACAGTATTCTTTGTGTGTCAGAGTGACCAGAGGAATTCTGTGTTAACTATGGGACTAAAAACAAGTGAAAGTCTGAAACATCAAATAAATGTTTTGGACAAACAGGCCAAAAAGGGAGAATGCAGGGTAATACTGAACACATGATTTGGACATTTGGGAGAAACAGTATCCCCCAAGGCCTCTTACCTTCATACAGTATCTTTGCACTCAGGTCGGGCAATGTTTCTGCTTTTGCTTGTTCCTGTTTTACTGGTGAAGGCAAGTTACTTTCGGGAGAAGAAACGGATCCATCCTCGACAGTGCCAGCTGGAGAACAGCTTCCTTGAGCTCCCTGCCTGTACGCCTGCAGCCTCCACGGAGGAACGCCACATCTCGAGGGCAGCAGAGCCAGAGGGGTGAACCCACGACACACCTGTGCGGCGCTGCTGC